GCTCTTTTGTTTTCTGGTGCTATGGGCAACTGAGATGAGCTGCAGGTACGAGATCCCCGCTTGCGTGACGGGTGCCATTATGAATGCGTACCCCTCAAGCAGCGGGGTATATGCGGGCTTCACGGTGAGTATCTCTCCATCCTCATTATGACCTCTCCCACTTACAAATATGTTTTTAGAGAGCGGCAGGAGGCGGCAACGCTGTGATGTGTGATAGAGATGATTGGCGCGATCGCGTGTGAAATATCGAATTTAGTTAATTCATAATAAATCTTAATCCACTGCAGGCTTACCGCATCATAACTCCAATTCGTAATCCTCTTCTTCCTCCAATAGGTCCTTGACCCATTGAGGTGAACCGCTAGGACCCTTCGATTGCAAGGATGTGAGTCGTTCCTCAAGGACTTCCTTAAACACGAAGTCTCTCCAAACATGTTTTGCTGGAGACTTTAGGACCAGCGTAGAAGCCCTTTCCAGGTATTTCCGCTGGACCGTCACCCTCTTCAGCTCTTTTCTTTCCCCGCTAAGTTCCGCAATGTATTCATATGCATTGTGGCCATCATGTTACGAAGCGGGTATGTCCTAATTGGAAAATATATTTCCTTAGGACAGTACAGTCTATCCAATGCGTTTTTGGCCTCACATATGGAGGTGCCTCCATATGGGCTGCCTCGCGCAATGTCTGTTTGGAAAGACTTCGTGAGGAGGACTCCCCGGAACACCTCATACGCCTTAGAATCCCGGTCCAACTCTAGAGGCCTCGGACCCTGGAGGGGAGCGTGGCTGCAGTGAGTGTACGGGCCGGTAAGCGGATCCTGTAACATTTCAAATAGGTGTGATGTAACAGTAATCTACAAAGGGACATACCCGTGGCCATTGATGCACGCCCACAACGTGCATCAGGCATGTATTGAACAAGGCCCTGGGATCGGCCCCCGACTCCGAAGCCGTTTTAAAGGCTTGCCACAACCACGTCTGCGTCTTCTCCGTCCACAAGTCGATCACACCGCAACCGCCCACTTTGGCCGCCTAAACAAAGTAATGTGACATCGCTTCTCAAATGTACCTCGGTGATTTTCCCACCTTCCTGAGCTCATTGCCTAGCCACTTCTTCAGGTGCCATCCGTCATAATAATGACGGATGGCACCGAGCTCAGGCTCCAACTCTCGGAGCATGGCGCCTATGGCACGGTTGCGGTCTGTCGTCAACGACGACACTCGGAATCCGATACCACCCACCCACCGCAACAGCGCTTCATGCCCTCAACCTCCATGCGCGTACTAACGTCCTCTGCAACAAAAAATTTAGGTGTAGGAAGTATGTAATGGTGCTTTTCATATGCGCCTCACCCGTCTCCGATCTATGGAGCACCTCACAATGGAGGATCAATTTAGTACGCAGATCTGACAGCACCACCTTCCCAATCATAGCCGAATATCCTCGGCTGTCATATGCTCCATCAGCTGCCAGATGGAGGCCCTCTCCCTGCAATCGCGATATGGTTGAGGTTTGGTGGTGGGTCTTCAAAACACGTATAGTACCTTATACTCTCTCCTAATCGTGTCGAGTACCAGACGTTGTTGCGACTGGTAGACGTTCTCGATGGCGGGCTTCGTCACCTTGAACACCTCATAAAAAAAGGTGCTCGAAAACATCGCCAAATGGGCCGCTTCCGCCCATCTTGCAAGCTCCTGAATTGTCAGATAAGTAGCCATCACCATCCTATCAGAAATCTTAACTGTGCACTGACCGCGAATCGCAGTCCAGTCGTGATTGCCGCTACCGCCGCAACAACGTTCCCTTTGAACTTCCGCTCCCTCGAATGCGGGACAAGGCGATCCTGGCTCTCCCATCTTTTCACGGGAGGCTTACGGACGCTGCAGTTGCCACAAATGAACCGCACCACAGCTGCAGTTCCAATCGCCTTCAGTTGTGTTCTCCCTAGTTGTCTCCCGCATTCGGGACAGAAACGGAACAGCTTCAACAGCTTTTCTCCTTTGACAAGGAAGTATTTCTGCAGATCAGCTGCTTCCGTCTGTCCGAGGTCTTCCATTGCTATGTAGCTGTCCTCTGAGTCGGTGCTGTCGGGTACGTACTCAGACACCTAAACTAGGTTGTAAAAATTATCACAAAAATACTTGTGGTCGAAAATGATTAGCCGAATAGTATAATAGTCGGAACCGGTTCACTGTAAGACGAAGCCGAATCATCCTCTTCCTGACATTCCTCAGTCATGTCCACGTCGTTTCCATGTCTCCCTTCAACTCCAGCAAAAGACTCAGAAGGGCTCGGAGACATTGGCATGTCGACTTCCTTTTCAGCCTCCTCCATCCCCTCCTAAACTTCTACCGCTTACTGGTTCAACCAAGTGACCGAACAATACTACTTAACACACCTCCTCCTCGTATTGATCAGGCCAGAGAGAGGTTCCATGATACCTTTTCAATGTCGTGTTCACGAACAGCAACACGTCTCGCGGTGTTATCCCGTATTTGTTCTGAACTCTCTTTTAGTTACGCCATGCAAAAATTTCCATTCAATGTATGCTAAGCCCTACCCCGCTCAATGCGTTTACTGCACTAACAACATGTGGCGGTATGTCTGTCGTGTTCACATAGGCTGTGCTTCTGTGGGCCAGAGGATCATCGTAGCGTGATAGACGCTTTCCTGTCACATACATCTCCGCCACGATGTACTGTCCCTGCTCATATAAGTGCATTCACATACACAAGTAATATCATAACATTCTCAGGTAAGTCTTTGGCCATTCCCATCTGTGTTGCAAATTTCAGGGATCTTTTTGGAAGATCCACTGTGGAACGTGCCTTAACGCTGGTTCTTACTCTTTTCAGAGCAATTTTGAGAACAGTATTGACCATAGTATTGCAATTATTCGCTATCGGGAGACTAGCAATACCCTACAAGACCCTCATGAGAATTTTTTATGACAAACACAATGTGTTAAGCTGACTAGGCCATAACAGACTGCCATATAGCTCTCATCCACATGGTGTCCGCTTGAAAGTAACACCTTCTGCATAACGGAGGGACACATATCTGATAACTTTTGAATGTTCTTATTGTTAAAAAAATTGAACGAACTACAAAGAAGATGGAAATCGGCCAGACTTTCCCGACTGTCATAGAATATGTAGTAAGGCTTGGTGATGTCAACTTACAGCTTCCACAAGGTGTTTGCTGCAAATAAATTTGTTGTTATTTGTGATGCGTGCCACCACTTCATCGACGGATATTTTATCATCACGCCCAAATAATGCCAGTGAGGCTGTCATTATTACGTTTTGTTTTCTGCCAGTGGAGTGCCTCATCGTCTCAGCACTGGCATTCAAGCCACACAGAGCGCACGTCTTCTTCATATTGATATACAGTCCTGAACCAACGAAAGGTGAAGTAATGTAGAGTGGAGCCTAACGAAAAAAAGACAAGCCGATGTCAAACCCAGAACAACACTGTGCCCATGTTTGTTCCACGTCATCGACCATTGCCAGGTCACATTGTGTCCCTGATCTCCTCTTGCAATCATGCTGAAACCTGTGTACTCCACCTCAATGTGAGCTCCCAATCTTTTCCAAATCCTCCAGCCATCTCACCTTATGGCATGTTCTCTGTGTTCCTTCTACAAACCAAACAAACACTTTCTATTCATTCATCATTATTTATTTAATCATCTACATTAAAATCCACGTTGTCAAACCAAACATGAATGTTTGTACATGAACAACTATCTGAGATATGACGAATGTGGCGCTATTAAAATAAACTAATAAGTGAGAGATGATCACCTTGATGATACAATTAGCAGGTTACAAAAAGTGAGGAGTTGAGTAAAAGCATATGGCCGAATCCAAAAAAGTAAGTGAACAGAAGGTAACGCTAGAGCTTTTTAAACGAATCACGGGGCGGAATATATCGTGCTCACTTGCTCAACCTTCGACCTGACACCGTAATTTATGTCCATTCAGCTGAATATTACCAGAATGGAGTCATCGAAGTAGAACGACTAAACAATTGATCTCGAATGCTTGGTAATATGTGGAAGGATCACGATACAAGATGATAAATCAAAAAGAATTTTCATTAGAAGGGCAAGTGATATCTTACCAGCAGTTTCTTCAGATTTTCAACCATTTTCGCGTCGAAAAATTCTTTGTCACATGGCGAAGATCGAAGGGCATACTGGACCTGAAGTTGCTCCATTATGTGCTGTACGAAGGAAACGCAATGCGCAAAGTGAAAAAGAATAAAATGGCGCAATGGCCTTGGGGGGGGGGGCAGTCGCCGCGCGCGCTCGTGCGGCAACAGGAAATTCGTGAGCCAGGGGGAGTGTAGCCAATTCAGGGGGGTTGGGGGTGAGGGCAGTCACATGACATGCGTGAGAAGCTGGAATGTTCGAATTTCCTGTTGCCGCACAGCCGCGCGCGGTGACTGCCCCCCCCCCCCCCGAGGCACATAGCGCCCAAGCAATAGCTTAGCAACTGACTTGGAATTCCATATCCTCGATCTCATTCACACATGCAAGCCGTATTTCGATCTGTCTGGTTCGAAGCGGATCATGCAAAGTCAATCATCTGGTACTGAAAAAGAAAGATTCTCATAACACTGAGCAGGCAGTCGATGGGAACTAAGAGTTGAGCCATCCAAATGCTCGCATTTTGCACCTTATATTCCCCCACTACTAGATTAGCCCTTATAATGGATTAAGAAATAATAATGAACAAAGTCGTTTCCTAGCAAGCGTATATGGGTGCTGACATGGAAATTGAACAAAGTAGATCTGAGTACATCAAGAAAGACCCACATAAAATAGACGCACCTGCCAGCCAAGTTCACTGACGAATCGCTAAAAATAGGGTGACGTACTGGTATTTGGAAGGATTGATTGCACGCTCTCATGACCATCTGCTACGTAAATCACGATTACCTAAAATCAGAGGAGAAGTAGTTGGTGGAAGTAAAAAGGACAATATCTAAGTCGAAAAAAAAGTTGGCGACAAAGCAGCTTATTCGGTGATAAAGTGCTCACCGAGAAATTTGTTCGCAAAATCGTGGTGATCATTATAACAGCAAAGCGAGGAGTAAATCTTAAATTGGTTCTTGTATATAGGGTAGATGAGCCATATACTCGCTTTTACGTTTAACACGTTGACGACATCGCGCGTTTTGGGTCTTCGCACCGCGTGGGACAGGGACACTTTTGCGAGCCGTCACACCTCGCAACCGCACAGTCTTCAACAAAACTGCAGTTAAGCTCGCCACTAACTTACAAAAAGCGGAAAGCAGTAATGAAGAGCTGTAAGGCGATACGAAGCGTGTAGGAACAAAGAAAAAACTGAGATTACAGAAAAAAAGAAACGAACCCATTGAATATAGACTGACTAGTTAAGATCTCAGAGAACCTGCCAGCACCTGCACGAATCGCTCCGACTCCTGAAAAATGAACGAATTTTCAAAGGAGAAAAATTGCCACACATTGGAATTACATACACAAAAGTTGGAATTGACGAAATTGTTATAACAATGTAGGGATAAGAAATGTATTGTGGCAACATTTCAGCAAAATTACAGCTAGATAAATCACGAACCAGTGCCAAGGTTGCCCATCCTCACCAGAGCAAACAATGTTCTGAATAGACGACCTGCACATTGGGCAATGAACACCATGTCAAATTGCAACAAAACCATCTAGTTTCAACAGCGAAATATAGACCTAAAAATAATGTATTTAGATGAAAGCGAAGAGTATGTCGAATATGGAACAGAGAAGATGAAAAAAATGCCAAGACGATTACCTGAAAAAGAACACTGGTTCTAGCACTACTCTCATTGAGGCTTTCTCTGATGGGAGCGCGAACATGATTAGCCCACTATTGGAGCTCAAGCATTTCCTACAAAAAGAAGCATCCAAGACGGGTGAATAGAAAGAAATATAAATTACAAACGATGACAGTTGAGCAAGGAATCTGAGAAAAATTGAGGTTCGCAACAATAGCATCAAACGGTATTGCAAAGAGATTGCAATTAGCAGAGGAGGGAAATAGATTAACCACAAACCATAAAATGAAATCTCGACTCGCGGCTAAATAAAGTAAGGAGGCACAAGGGGAAATCAGCTGCTGTATTGATTTCTATACGACCTTACACACAACGCCATGTCATCTAAGCTTCCACCGGCGTTGCTCGAATGAATCCCGTTAGGACGCGTGGCGGCTCAATGGTTTGGCGGGCCAAATGCAGCCAATCTAAGCTTCCTCACACGCCTAAACCTTACCAAATTCGCCAGTTCCCGCCACTTTCTGCACCATGGTTGCCCTATTGCAGTCCTAGTTACTATTTGAACCGGGGAAACCCTAAATTTCGCCAATCATCCCGGAATTTGCCTTCAATAATGTATTTAGAAAACGATGTAAGACATGCCTTGCAGTATTCTCAGAGCACAAACCCGAGATTACACCTGCAAGGAGCAATTTTCTTTGCGATGAATTGAGGCACACTTATAATACGTATCAAGGAGATCTTATACACCTCTTCCTATAGACCTAGCTCTTATAATTCTTCTATTTCTACGGGAAACACAATCTGAACGGAAAATGAACTAATACTCCTGGTTGTCCCCCGGCTTATTCTCCAAGAATCTCACTTTGTATGGTCCCCCCTTCCTTGATGTAAATTTTGGGGTGATTCTGAAACAGGTATTGATACAGGGTGTGGCAAAATCACTGCTGTGCCAACACTTCTTCGGATAATTCGTTACGGATTTCAGAAATGAATGCTGATAAAGCATACTGTTCGAAAACCGATGACAATCCAAAACTTGTCAGCAGTTTTCAAATTTATCCCGTCTACTCTTCACAAAGCTCTATATATGTGTGGCATACACCAACGCATGCGGCACACAGGTTTCATCATATTTTTCCAAAACATAGGGCACCATTATGAGATGTCTCAAATTCGGGAATTTGGTAGAACTTCTTTTCCTTCCGAACCCAACCCAAAAATATTGGTTTAGTCCTGATAACTGGAGGTTTTTTTTGTCGTGACTAATAAACCATAAATATGCTCGGAGCACTGTTCCAGGGCCATTCTTAGTCAGTGTGCTGAAGCGAAGCCTTTGCTGAAACCAACGGAACACCTCTTCAAAGTGAAGGCACGCTAATGGTTTTGGACAACTATCGAGTTCGGACATTTTTTGAAGAATGGTTGAAAGAGGGAGAAACAGACGAAGACGGAATGCATAGCGTTGCGTTGGGGTTCGATGGTTGCCCTTTGTATATCAGAAGGCTGGA